CATCTAAAGAAGTCTAAGTACTTCCACACACCCTTGAACCCAACCCTCTCTCCAAAGAATCATCAAAGGACAGGCTCTGGCTGGCTTGGCTGGGCAGGTCCTAGAGCCAGTGGCTTGGAGTCAGCCAGTAGACTGTCCCATGTCACCTGTCTGGAGACCATCATGCCCATGGTATGGAGACTTTATGCTGGTGTAGGAGGGAGGCAAAGCTATAAGTATGACTCACTTCTCAAAAGTTCTCATTCTACCATTTTTTTAAACAAAGACCTACATTAGTCTCCATTTTTACTAACCAAAAGAAATCGGAAGAATATTGTCATGTTTATGAAAAAAGAGCAAAAAGTGAAAACAGTGTTAAGCTTTTCTTTAAGTATTAAGCCCTTATAGAGGCAGTGCACACTCTGAGTAGCCCTGCCAAGCTCATTGCCCGGGAATGCACTCAGTGTCTCAGCATCCAGCCCCCAGGATCTGAAGTACATTAACTATTGGCAAGTCATCTGCAGTGACTCAGAACATTCCATAATTTTCTTGTGGAAAATTCTTGTGGGATATTAAAGTTCTTGCAAAACTGTGTCCATGAGCACCTGTGCTCCATCTCCATTTAGTTTATGCATCCTTTAGCAAGATGTTTCCTAAGGTATCAGAAAAGCCTAAGAGAGCATATTTTTCTGGCTCTGGGAATGCTAAAAAAAAAAAAAATCCCATATTAAATTAGTGGCCATTGCTTCTTTGCTTCATGCCATTTCTGTTTACCAAAGTTTTCACAGGAGTGTTTTACTTTTGGATGGTAGGGGAAACTTGTACTTCTAGCCATCCTAGGTTTTTAGCTCAGAAACTTTAAAAAATAAAAGGAAAGACTAAAAAGATTTAATAAACAGTTTACTAATATGTACAGTACACATCTCCAGGGGGAAACCTAAGACAAAGAATAAGCCATATAACCTCAGGACTGTGGGTTGTATAGCTTCTTCAACAAAGAACAATACATTTGTAGAGAAATGACAGGATAGGCTTCCCAGGGCACCAAACTGTGGGAAGGCAAATATATTAGAGGGAAATAAAGAGGAAGGTTTGTTTGCAGATTCCTTTGATGCCATCTCTGGTCTGGTTGGAGTCTGTCTCCAGTAGAAGGAGAATTTATAGCCTGCCTCCTGCAGAAAATGGGCGACTTTTTCTGTGTTTGCTATGTCCTAATTGTCTCCAGCTCAAAATAATTCTTATGTCAAAGAGGCACATTTGGGGGATCAAATGGGACATTGTTCTGAGGTGGAGAGATTTTCTGGGCAAACGGAATGATGAGAAGTTGGAATAGAGGGAAGAAAGGGTGGTGAGCTTCCTCCCCTACTGCCACATTTAGAGGTTTTCTAAGTATACTTTCCTTTCCTCAAAAGAACAGAAATGCTATTTCAATCTCAATGATTTGTTGAGGATGGGGTTTGAAGACAGAATGGGGTGGAAAATCAGTCAAGAGCAGTGAGAAAAGTCATTGACCAGACTTTTGGAAGTGCAATATTAAATAGGAAAATACACACAGCTCAGTGAATTTTCACAAAGTGGCCACACCCATCTATCTAGCAAACAGAGAGAGCCACAGAATGTGACTATGTCCAGAGACTTTCCTCATCTCACCTGCCAGTCTTCTGACCATGCATCAGTGGGGTCATTCTGTATGTTCTCTTACTGTCTTTCTTTTCCACAGGGATATGTTTGTGAGACTCATCTATGTTATGGAGTCTGTGTCTAATTTCATAAAATGAATTAAGGACTTGAATGTAAGATCTGAAATCATAAAAATCCTTGGAGAAAACATGGGCAGTAAGCTCCTTGACATTGCTGTTGACAATAATTTTTTAAATCTGACACCAAAAGCATAGGCAACAAAGCCAAAAATAAATGAGTGAGGCTATATCAAACTAAAAGACATCGGTACAACAATGGGAGCCATCAACAAAATAAAAAGTCAGCCCACTGAATAGGAGAGGATATTTACAAATCATATATCTGAATAAGTGATAATATCCAAAATATAAAAAGAAGTCATATAATTCAATAGCAAAAACAATTTGATTGCAAAATGGGAAGATATGAATAGATATTTTTCCAAAGAAGACATCTAGGTGGCCAACAGGCACATGAAAAGATTCTCAACATTATTAATCATCAGGACATGCAAGTCAAGCCACAATGAGATATCACCTCATACCTGTTAGAAGAACTATTATTGAAAAGACAATGGATGCCTGGGTGGCTCAGTCAGTTAAGCGTCTGCCTTCAGCTCAGGTCATGATCCCAGGATCCCGGGATCGAGTCCCATATTGGGCTCCTTGCTCAGCGGGGAGCCTGTTTCTCTCTCTGCCTCTGCCTTCCACTCTGCCTGCTTGTGCTCTGTCTCTCTCTCTCTCTCTCTCTCTGACAATTAGATAAAATCTTAAAAAAAAAAAAAAGACAAGACAAAAATAGTGTTGGCAAGTATGTAAAGAAAAGGAAAACATTTGCACCCTGTTGGTGGGAATATAAACTGGTGCAGCCAATGTGGAAATTGGGGGTTTCCTCAAAAAGGGAAAATGAGGTTTCCTCAAAAAATTAAAAATAGAGCTACCATATGATCCAGCAATTCCACTTATAGGTATTTATCAAAAGAAAATGAAAACACTAACTTGAAAAGTTATATATATCCCCAAGTTCATTGCAGCATTATTTACAATTAACTTGCATTATTTACAATTTACAAGATATTTACAAGATAACCTAAATATCCACTAATAGATGAATGGATAAAGAGATTGTGGTGTATATATACACTCATAGTAGAATACTATTCAGCCATGGAAAAGAATGAAATCTGGCCATTTGCAACAACATGGGTGGATCTTGAGGGCATTATGTTAAGTGAAATAAATCAGACAGATGAAAACAAACATCATATGATCTTTTTATCTATGTATGATATATACAAAAAAACACAAACGAACCAAGCTCATAGATGCATAAAACAGATTGGTGGTTCCTAGAGCTGGGAGAAAGGTGGAGTGGGGTGGGGAGATGAGTGAAGGGGGTCAAAAGGAAAAAGAAGAAGGGGAAAATTTCTTGTGCAGGGAATGGGTTCTCACATATTCACAGAGAAGTAGGGCTTTGTCCTTGGCCATTGGTGTGGAAGGCATGGATGTGTCTCCTTCCCCACTGAGCTGATAACCTGAGACTCAGACTGCAGTAGAGAACTCCTTGTTTCAGTAGTTCCTGTCCCACACATTAGCTGCTCTATGCAGGTCTGCTAACCCTGGACCCTAAGTGTCTGTGGGAGGACTCACCAGAGCCTTCAGGAAGGCATTAAAAACCAACACAACCAACCCACACAATTGTCTGATTGGAGCTTAGAAGGAAAGAGCCAGGCTAGGGGTCTGCCAAGATATACCAGCCTGACAGGAGTTCAGAATATAAAGATTGGGGCTCAGAGCACTGTCAGAGTACCCTCTGGGTTAGAAACATTCCCTTCTGAATCTTAACACTTTTTACCGCACTTTGACTCTCCTGGTTAATGCCTGCACCCACTGTGTTAAGTAATTACTACTTGGAAATATCAGCCATGGATGGTAACTTTAAAGGGACACAGAGAATGTGGTTATTAATTCCTTTTTAGTCCAGTGTATGAAATGAAGCAATTTATTATTTCCCTTGCCTGTGGTGGCAGCTAGAATTCCATGAGCAAATCAAAAAGGAAGAATAAAGCTCAAGTGAGAAATTCTGGCTGTGTGTGTGGCTGTTCCTGCCCACCCAGGACCTTGCTTTTACAGCTCATCTCTTCACATACAGAGAAAACAGCTTCTTAACAAGTAGCCAGTCTTTCACCAGAGTGAGGAAGCCAGCTGTAAAAATAGGACTTCTTTTATAAGGCACATAAAATCGGACTGACAAGGTCAGTTGTAAAATTGCACATACTCTCTACATGACTATCCCTGCAACAACCTTTCCCTGTGTAAGGAAATGACCGTGACTCCAGAGCAGACTGAAACTCAGGATAGACATTTTTGGGAGAGCTCTGGAAAACCAGCATGGCAGAGTGGAGAATCAAACTCATAGCAGAATTTGCAAAATATTAGATGGCTGAGTGATTATGAATTAATGAATAAATGAACGGAAAACACATAAATACATGAAAAAGTCATTTGCACATATTCATAGATGAGCTTTGAGGTACTTTAACATCATGTATATATGTTTGTTCTTCTTTTGAGAATGACAACTTCCAAGAGACCAAAACCACATTTGTCAGGTGGCCTTTAATGGTAGGAGCTAAACTGTTCTTCCCTTTGCCCTTCTGTAGATAATATTACTTAGCAAGGGTCTCCTAGACTCTTGTCAAATAGCCCCTGCACTTTCTCTCCCTCTCCTTTAAGTAAGATGCATCAGGATCTGACCTTACCCCATCATTAATTACCAGAGCCATGATGCCCATGAGGATATACTCCCTGCACATATGTGTTTGCACACTCATTTCCCCAAAATGCCCCTCTGAACCAATGAATGGATCATAGACTAGGGTAAGACCACCATGATACAAAACACAGTTTTATTAGGGGAGAAGTAAATGAGAGAAGTGCATGGAAGGGGAGATAAATAAATAAAATGAGAGAAGTGCATGGAAGGGGAGTTGGAGGAAGCAGTAAGACAGAAGCTGTGCCTCAGCTTCTGGAATCCCCACTACTCAGAGTGGAACCTCAGAAGAAGTTCAAATGCTTCCCTTGTTTTGGGAGCATGGATGGGGCCCTAGTTGTGGCCAGGCAGGAGGCTGGAAAGGATAAGGCTTCCTCATATCTACTTGGGAGACAATCAGGGTGGGAAAAGCTAAATGGGGAGAAATCCTGACAATGTTTCACTGGACCCCCGGCAGGAGGTGGTGGGAGAGGAAGGCAGCTCTTGGGTATGGAGGGAAGAGGAACAGGAGGAAGAGAAGGCTCCATCTGGTAGCCTGAATGTCAGGCAGGCAGTACCCCAGTCTGCCCTTACTTCTGTTTATTCTTGGGGGCTTGCTGGGCCACGGGACACTTGTGCTGGGTGGGGATAGCTGTGCCCTTGGGTGGGCATTGTTTCTTGGGCTGAGAGCACATGGATCCTTGGTTTGTTGTGCACATGTTTCTTGACATCTGACAGCAGGTGACTGACAGGGCTGCTTCACCTGCTGCTGCTTCTGGGCCTTCCAGGGCAGGCCCTGCCTGCCTCAGCTGCTGCCGCTGAGAAGACACTGTCACAAGAACCGGGAGGCCTGAAAGAAACCCAGGCAATGGACACCATGAGAAGGGCTCCCTCTGCCACTCCCCCTTCTGACACCTAGAACAGTTTTCTTACAATGGTCAAGGACATGACAAGTGAATGATAGCCTCAAATTGGTCAATGGATTGATTCACAGGGGCCCATTGTGATCCTCTCCCTTTCATTTTTCTGCTGTGCTATTCTGATTTCCTATCTTACTTCATCCTCCCATAGACTCCTGCCTTAACTAAATACATAATTGATTTCTCAGTATTCCCAGAAAACAAGGTGAGGTGTTGAGTTGAGGATTAAAAGGTAATGCAAATATTTTATAAGATCGAGGCATGAAGTCTTGGCTGACTTGCATTGGGTCTGCGATGTCAACTGGCCACCTTGAGTAGTGTGGATGGTGCTGGCAAGGATGGGAGCGCCTGTGGTAGAGGCCAGGAGCCATCCCTGTTCTAGAGGGAAGTGTCGTGATGCATAAGTGTTGGGGAAAAAGCCTGTTCCAGGATCTCAGAGGTCTGAGTTGTAGTCCCCACTACATGGCTGACTCGCCTTGGGATGCTAAGGCTATTCATTTATTGTAGCCATAGGATAGAGGTTCTAGCCCTCCATGAAGAATTGGGGAACCGAAGGTCACATAGACCGCTAGGGGTCCGGGACAAGAGAAGGATGTTACAAGAAGTGGCCTGGTTCAGAGTAGGAGCACTGGGCCAAGAAGGCACAAGCCATGGATTCTAGAACCAAACCAGCCAGGCGTACTTGTGGGCAATCTGCCTTTTCTCAACATCTATGCCCTTATTTGGAAGATGCTGACCTGGAAAGGTCTCTGAGGCCTTCCCAGTTCCAGTGTGTGTCTCTGGTTTTGTTTGTAAGCAGCCTTCCTCTCTTCTAAATTCATGATTATAAAGGGAAGCATAGGTTTTGGGTGGTCATCATGATAGTGAAGCAGGGGAACGCCACAGTGTAAAATGCAATATATAACATACCTGCTTCTGCAAACCTAAAAGCAGTGGTTGAAAAGGCTTGCTCATAAGGCTGAAAAGGTAGCTTTTTAAGAATGAGAACATTTGGAGGAAACTCAGAATTGCTACAACACACTCCAGTTCCAGTTCTAAATATCTCCCCTCAATGAGCAAAATCCTCTTGCCAGGGAGTGAGACCCAGAATCAGGTAATTAGCCATACCCAGCAATGGTGAGGGATGGAGACTGAATTTCCTAAGTAACAATTAGCGTGACATTTCTTTAACTGTCATAAGGCTTAAGTCACTTCTCTGATTACCCAAGAATAGGACAGGAGCCTGCCAAGTAGCTGGAGACTGTTGGAGAAGGAGGAAGCGCCCCTCAGGTCTCAGCAGGAGGAATTCATTCCTACATACCAGAGGCTCAAGCAGGACCCCAGGAGAGAAGACTGAACACAGTTGGACGCCAGCCTCTTCTGGAAACCTTACAAGGTCCACAGCCTATCTCAGGCATTTGGCATGGTTCTGATTACTTCCTTCCAGGGAATTCCTTACCAACTTCTCCCACCTGCACTTCCTCCAGGGACTTGCTTTACTGGCCTGTTTTGATGGAAAACACCCCCAGAGATTCCAGCCTTCTGGGTCCCTATCTAGCTAAGTGGACTTCACCTACCTAAGGTGTTTGCTGAAACTCAAGGACTCAAAATCTTTAAAAAATAGAACAAATCTGAGGTGCTTTTCACTGACTTTGAGTTGTAAAAACCATTGAGGAAATAGGAGGAAGAGAGAAAATATGGGTTTGGGCCACTTCTGATAAAAATATGAGCATCCCCTTCACTGCTCTTACTTCCATTTGTTGAGCACTAAGATCTGGCACTGCCATGAGCACTGCCTAGTGCTGAGATCACTCTTCACACCCACCGTTCCACTGTAAATTTATAGCTTCCACAAGGCAAGTGTCATTGTTACCATTTTGTAGATGAGGAAAGTGAGGCTGGGAAAGATCATGTGGCTAACACAAAGCAGAAATGGGACTGGGACTCAGGTCTGGATGATTCAGGGGATCCAAACATCAGATGGAGAAGTCAAAAGTCTCCTCACAAAGGTCCCTTGTCTCCTACACCACTGCCTGGTGCCTATGATTTTCCCAACCCACCAGGGACTGTTTGCAATGTATTATAGGAGGCTTCTCCTTGAGCACTAGGACAAGAATGAGAATGAGCCCCCCAAGCTTAATCAACATGGTATTGCTATCCCTCACCTGCCCACCAGATATTAGCCACTGATGGGTATTAGTGGTGGGCAGGGGTTGGGATAGAATTTAACCTCTAGGGTAGGGTTGCCAGGTAAAATACAGGACACCCAGTTCCATTTGAATTTCAGGTAAACAGAATTTTTTAAAAAAATTATTTAAAATCAATTAACGTATAGTGTATTACTAATTTCAGAGGTAGAGTTTAGTGATTCATCAGTTGCATATAACACCCAGTGCTCATTATATCAAGTGCCCTCTTTAACCAGAATTTTTTCTTAGTAAAGTATATCTCTAATATTTCATAAGACATACTTATAATACAAAATTACTGGTTAATCTGAAATGTGAATTAAACTCGGCAGTCTGTATTTTTTTTTGCTAAATCTGGGAATTTACTCAAGGACCTATTTAGATGGCAGGAAGGAGCCCTGGTCCCTCATTTGTACTCGTAGCCCCAATGATAGAGAGGGCAGGACTGCTCTGGGAAGCTGATCTACCTTTGTACTTACGGCCTAAAACCTCAGCGGCCAGCCTGACTAGAGGCATTGATGTGCTCATTTTTGTCATTATCGGGGGCTACATTGTAAGGCTGCCTGAGAAATGATAGAAATACCTAGAAGTATTTTCCAAAGCACTTTCAAACCCTTGCCTTATTTAATTATCATGACAATCCTGTCAGGTAGTGTAAATCCAATTTTACAGTTTGAAAAAGTAAATCCAAAGAAGTTAACTGACTGGCTCAACGATAGGCAGCAAGCAGGGAGGAGCTGGGGCAGGGCCCTGGCCAGGGGTTCATATCCTATGCATCACAGTGGCCAGCTTCTCTGTGGCAGACAAGTGACTGTTGCTAGGTGGGGCCATGGCTCAGGAACTTCCCTGAGCTTTCTATCATATGTGGCTCAGTTTTTAGGGTCAGTCTCACTTACAGGTTAGCCCTTCCCTTAATTTCCTATCCCCGCCAGGTCTCACCCCTTTCTCCCCACAAACCTATCAACTTTAAGAATATAACATTCTAAAGAAGTAAAGTAACATTCTGGGTTCTAGATTCCACATTTTGCCTTCCACTTTTGCCACCTCCACACCTCTCTTCCTGGCTCCCACTCCACTCTGCTTGTCTAGATGCAAGACCTCCAGAAGGGAAAGAGGCAGCAAAACAGATTTGGCATAGCATTCTCATGTGCCTGGCACCTGGAAAGTATCAGTGTATTTGTGCTACCTACAAATGGAGCAATGACGCCCTCCCTTCATCAGGCACACACACAACTTCTCCGTGGACTCCTCATTTTCCCCAGTCTGCTTTCTGGCCTCCTGCTTGGTTCATAACCAACTCCTCCTGGGAGCTCTCTCTAGTTATGCAACTGGGTGTATAACACAACTATCATTGTATCACAGTGTATGTGAGTACTGTCATCTCTGAGGATGCTCCAGGAGTGGCTGGGATAGACAGCCAGGCATAGCTGGCCTTGAAAAAGCTGTGAGCTCTAGGTCCTGTTTATGTATGTAAGCAGTCAACCTCATAGCATCCAAAACAAGTTTCCTGAAACCCTGGAACTCAACTTTTCCATGAGCCACAGTCTGTCCATTTTACAGAGGGGGAAACTGAGTCTTGGCCCAGGGTCACACAGTGGCTCATGTGGAATGCAGGGCTAGATCACAGGGCTCCTGACTTCACAGATCTTGTCAGTCAGCTGAAGTGCCTGAGCTACGAGGCGGCTTCTGGCAAAGGCTCTGTTAAAGACAGAACTAGGAAGCTGGTTCTCTCCCTCCTCCTGTCCGACATCTTTTCTTTCCTCCCTGGCTCTCAGTGTCATCCTTCCCATGAGCCTGTTTCCTCTCTCCTCTAACAGACCCCAACCAGTCCCTTGCCACCACACTGCTAGGCCCGGGTGCAGTTTGATTAGCCGCTCAACTTAGAGACACTTCCATATAAAAGTTTTCACAATAGTCTATGAAGAAAGCTAATTGTATAATAAATTTATAAATAAGAAAGCTGGCTCCAATGGTGGATGAATCTTAAATCTAGAAAATAGGGTTGCCCCAAGTCTCTTACATCTAAAATGGTTGATTTCCAGACACCCTGGCTGGCTAGGGATCATTCTTTCAAAGGAGGAGGGGAGGCTTGCTGGCACCCTCAAACCAGCCCATACAAGCAACTCTCTAGGGAAGGTGTGCCCTGAGAAACTCAGTGGACCAGGGACTCCACTCCCGCCATCCAGTCTGGCCTTGGCTCTGTCACCTGGCAAGTCCTGAGTCCTGCATCTGCTCTTTCATCCTCAAAGGCCATGTTGGACTCCAACCAGGAAGCCAGGCTCTGCAACTTGCCTCCCCAGGGAGCAGACACCTGAGAACAGGTGTGTGCCATGACTCCTTCAGGGAGGGGAGGGCACAGGCAAGACTCATTTCTGAAGGTGAGTCAAAGCTTGAGAAAACCCAAACCCACCCTGTGGACAAACAGTGAGGTGACTGGGACAGAGAGACCTGATCCTGGGAGAGGACCCTCTCAGAGACACTGCTAATCACTTAGCTATCAATCCAAACACATTTCCACCAGGGTACTTTTGGGGAAAGAAAGGTTGTTGATGGCTCCATCTGGACACAAATAGAACATATTTATTATGCTATCTGTAAGGAGGAAGCAAGAAAAGGAAAAAAAAAAAAAAGAAGCGCTCTAGTTTACTCATGAGAGGATTTTATAATGGGAGGATTGTGCTTGGCAGGGAGGACAGCAGAGTTTGGGCCTGCCAGCATTCCTGTATTTCAGCTGCCTGTTCAGTGAAATGAACATTTAAAACTGAGCAAATTGCATTTCATTAAAGAAAATAATAATCATGTCATATGTGTTTTGTCTAGAGTTCTGGTACATACTTAACCAGCAGTCACTGTCCAGGACATTTCTGTTTGGAATTCCTTTCTCCATTAATTAGTTGATGATCTGTCAACAAAAATTTCAGAACATGCTTCTTAGAGAGACTTTGTGACCTTTATAAATGTGGGAAATCCTTTTGCAGTATGGATTAGAAAAATTAGCCTCTAATTTTTCTATTTGCAGATAAGATGCTCAGTTACTGGTGTTGGGTATTCTGTGAAGTAATATTGAAATCAGTCCTATGGAGAGAGAAGAGGGAAAGGATAAGGTTCCAGAAATATGTAAGCCATTTATCTCCCCTTCCACCCCTCCTTGCTTTATTTCTCTAAGATCCCCAACAGTTCTACGAGTTTGATAAATGTGTAAAAGAAGTCCTGGATGGTGAGAGTCTGGTTCTGACACAACATCCACAGACTGTCACCTGAGGAAGCTGAAGACTGGCTGTGGAAGAGGAGAGCTGTGTGGGAAAAGTGCACACCTCTGGAAAGATGACCAGGGTTAGCCTCTTGGAAGTTGAGTGGACACCCTGTCCTTGGACATGACATGGTGTGGTTAGAGGCAAAAGAAGGAGCCAAGAGAGTTAAGAAACTGCTCTACTGATACTCACCCCTTACTGGCTGTGAGGTCTTAGACATGGCCCTTAATGTTTCCCAGATTCAATTTCCCTGTTTTCCAATATGAGGAGTTTGGCTACAACTCCCTCAAGGGCCCCAGGGAGCCTCCATTCTATAAATGTATGGGTTTGGGAAAGTCTGGGAAGGCAGCTGAGTTCCTCCTTGGGGGACTAATCATGAGTGGAGGACCCTGATGCTGCTTTTGACTCAGATGAAGAGTGCCATCTTGATCGGAGGCATTTATTGGGGGAGGGATAAGTGACCAGGGGATACAGGCAGGTCATCCTAGTTAGCCTGAAGCAGGA